GTTCCACCTCGCCTAAGAGGACAATGGTGCACTTCAGCGCAGAGGCAGAGTTTCAGTGGTACTGCGAGGGGAGGCGAGCAGGCTGCAGCAAGACGACCGATTGCAGTCACCTTCAGGAGGTCAAGAGAGCGCTGCAGAGGAGAGAGGGGGTGAGCAGATTGGATGGTCGCCTCTTCTCGGAATCGCAGCTGGAGCGGGCCAGATTATGGCTGCACCAGAAGGCCAGTGAGGTGGCGGTTGGGAAGCAGCACGCCGGTCCCACTCCCCCGCAAGCCGGTGAAGAGAGTTGTGCAGACGGCGAAGCCGGTCCCCAGGAAGAGCTGGAAGCCCTTACGGATGAAGAGCGTTATCTCCTCGGTCTTGTCGCGGGGGAGCAGCACGACGCAGTATGCAAGGGTGACGTTTGCTTTTGCAAGCAGCATCTCTCACTGTTCGGTGGGGTGGGTCTTGACAGGCAGCCCTGCGAAGGCCGGTGTTGTAGTCCTGCGAATAGCAGCGCAACTGGGAAGCGTCCGCGAGCCGAGACTGAGAACGGGACTTTCGTCACAGGGTCTGCACAACGGGGGGTGAAACGGAGGTCTAAAACCTACTGGGCCGCTCAGCCACTGCTGGAAGCAACTTGCGATCTGATGTGGTGGACCTTGGAGAGGGTGGGCCGTCAGCATGCTCGGCCGGGGGGCAAGGGCCAGATGTTATCCGTGTATGCGGCAGTTGCATTTGCCCTTCGTCGACGTGCCTTCACGTTGAGCCCGCACGTGTTGCGGTTGTCATGCTGATGGGTGCAGAGGCTGTCCAGGTAGAGACTCCAAAGCTCGTGCGCCCGACAGACGGGTTGGCCGTCCATGACCCCCCCGTCACATTGTTGAAGCAGCCGGTGAGAGTGAGCCAGCTGGTGGCGCGAGATTTCGAGGAACTGAGCAGAATGGCGGGCTTATGCGCTCCTTGTCCAAGAGAGCCGCCCCCCTGTGGGACGGGCTGGTTGAGCCTGATGCAGACGTCTCACATCTACTCGCTGGACTGGTCGCAGGAGGTGGGTGCCAGCTTGTCTTGGTTATGCAGATCTTGTATATTTCAGAGTGCAAAACTTTTCTATGGCTTCAGGGTCTCATCTTTTAGTAGATCTCAGGCTGTTTGTCAGAAGTCGGACCCCGTGTCCATCACAGTATTAACCTCTCTGTGCTCTTGTTTTGCTTCTTTTCCGATGGCCCACGCCGCTTGAGGTAGATCTTGCTTAGTCAATATGTGAACTTTTGCGTGCAGGTGAAAGTTCGCATCTACTCAGCTGCACTTGTCCAGAAAAGCACAGGGTCCACTTCAATGGAGAGGCCTTGGGTTTGTACTGCTGGACTAGAAGCGTCATCGTCACACAAGCGGCTTGCCAACTCCTGTTGCGATGCGTGCAAGGCATTGGCTCTGCTTGTAACGCCCTTATCGAGGCTAAA